GTATTTTTTATTTAATGTTATTATACATTTTGTATGTTGTTAGAAATATATTTTTAACATAACATAATTTAAAATGACATATTCTTTTTTAAGTATCTACCTACCTTATATTGTATTTGATTACACTTTCTTCTATATTTTTATTATTTCACATTATATTATCTATTATATATAATATCTATTACACATATATCCCTCACTTTATATATTATTTTTACAACATTATTATAGTTTTATTAATTATAACATAGCATTTTTAAATAAAATATTTTATTTATCTGAATAAATTTTTAAGATGAATAAACTCATTTGAAATCAAATTCGTAAAAATATGTTTCAATTTTAACGTAAATAATAATAAAAAATTATATGAAATAATTATCTAGCATAGTTGAATTTTACAAATATTCTGTTTCAAATGTATATCTGATACGTGTTTATAATTTGATGTAACTTTGTCATTCGGAATTTAATTAATATTCGTAACAATATTAAAATATTTTATTCTAGAAAGGTCATGAATTAAATTGCTTAAAGTTTCGCGAACAGTGATATTATTGTATATTTTCCACAGATAAATTAGAATTCTGTTAAATTGTGGCATTAATTGTTATAATTGTGATTGATTATGGAAATTTCATCTCGTTTGGAGAAAACGAAGGCACGAAGGTGCGAATCCGAGGATGCGATTCAAATACCGAAAATCCTCGAGACGAAGGTGGAACCGTTGTTTTCTTTGCCGTCAGACTTGATAAGTCCTAAAAGATGTAAGAGAACTGGAGAGGCGCTAATTAAAGGAAAGATACAAAAATTGCGTGACGTACCTCACACAGTGAAACGTCTTCGCGAGGAGAAGTTTCGCAGGTACAAAAAGCAAACCCGAAATTTGTATGTCCAAATAACTCCGAATATTTACTCGGTGCAATCAAAGTTAAAGTAATTAAACTAAGTTTTCAAGTATTATGTCAGATCTAAATCATGTGGCACAGTCAACGTAAATATAATTAAATTTGAATTATTTAATTTATATAAATCTACATAACTATATTAAACTTAATAAAATTATAAAATTATTACAATTAAAAATGAAATTTGAATTGAATTATAAAAAAATGTTAAATGAGTATATTAAGGGATGAAAACCAATTATTCAACAGATATGCTAAATTAATTACTTAATATAAAGTGAAACGATTTATGTTATTAATAATGTGAATTAGAAAATAATGATACTTGATTAATTGTTATATTATTCTCTTGGAAGAAGTTCGAAGTTTTAAATGAATCTCGATCTTTGCGATTAGATTTATGGTGGGTTTGATAGTGAAACCAGAGCTGGAAAAGGATGTGGATCTGAGTGAAGATAAGGACGTCAATAGATATTATTATTACATTTGCAATGGAGTCGATACAATTCGCACGGTGAGCGTCGAGGACATTTTCGTCGAGGCGATACTCGATTTAGTTCCCGGCACTCTACGGAAGAAATTTCCCGATTTTGCCGATGATCTGTTCCTCGAAATCAAGGAGGACTTCACAAAGAACATGAAGAAGGCTATCATCGAGTTCGCGCTCGCGGATCCTTTCGAGGAACATCCATCACAGGTTGGCCATCGGAAGAAAGATCGAATTATAAATGAGACTTCTATATCAATTTGAGAATAAAATCAGATCGGAGGTAACTGAAGATAAGCTTAATATTTTATCGACAAGATTCTGAAATATAAGAAAAATATCGAATAATATTTCAATGAAATATTAAGGCTTACAGTTATTAAAAATAGATATTTAAATAGGACTGAGAGTTTTAAATTTCAAATATTCCGTGGCAAGATTTTCTATCTCAACGTACAATGAATCGATTATTTCAGAAATCATGTAAGTTAATTTTTTTGTTCAAATTGAGATATCAGGGGATTCAGAAAAGGTATAATCAGGAAAGGTAGATACATGATTTTCTTTACAAATCACATTAATTTGAGTATTTCTTTCCTACATATCAAGTTTACTATAATTTAGAGTGAGATACAATAAAGTCTTCTTACATTAAACTTAAGTCTTCTTACATTAGACCATAAAAATACACACATTAATGAAATATTGCATATTGGAATTTAATGTTATGAGTTTACTTTTTTGTACTTTTTTGTATATTTTTTTAACAATAAAGCTAAATATCATTTATTTTATTATAATGTCATTTCTTTATACAACCTGTTATTTTATAACGTCTTTAGAAGGCTATCATTTACAGAATTTTCTAATTAAAAAACCCTGTGTCATATGTATGGAAATGCTCATTTTCTTATAAAAACGACATAAATAAATATTTTAATATTTTCAATATTTCATTTTTGGTTTTTTTGGGAAATAGATTTTAAAAGTGATATGTTTCATTCATTTAATATATGAGATAATAAGGCAATTTTTACATATTTATACAATTTTTAATTATTTTTAGCATTGCAGGTTTAAAAATTAGAACGTTTTTTTCAATTCTCCAAAAAATAGATTTTTTTTTTTTTTTTACTTATGAAGTTACTGAAATCCTATCCATATGTAGATAACTCTTATAGTAACAAAAATATATTGTGAATTAATTTTATTTCATTGTCTCGATGCTTATTTTGAAAAACTGCGAAATGCAGACTAGAGATCAGAGTTCTTGCCATCGGCGATTTAATTGTGCCGATCGCGTTGCAGTTCGACATGATTCAGAAGCGGTATATTCTGCTAGATTTACGGAAGCAAATAAAGCAGTACCGCGAAATTCTGCACACCGAGTTGTATTTGATAAATCCATGCATGCGAATGACTCTGGAGCAGTGGGCTCGCGATTACAGGTATCGATCGGAATTATAAACACGCTTAATTTGCGCTGTGATTTGTTATAGCGAATAATGTCAATTCTTTCAGTACATTTCGGCTGATCAATTTGGAGCACATCGTCGTGCACAAGGAAAGCTGGAATCTGAAGAATTTTTACACTCTACTCATTCGTCAGATCATCGCCAATCGGCGAATTCTGAGGAATGTCTGGTATACCGGGATTCAAGAGATATTTCTTGTGGTAAAGCATTGGAAAAGAAATAACATGTTAATTATCGCTACATCACATTAAAAGAAGAATCAGGCAAATCAACTTTATTTTGCTTGATTTTTTATTCTCTCTGTCTCCTTAAGCTTTCATGGATTTTTTTATTTATTTCTTTTATTTACCCGAGTATTTATTAATATTAATTTTGCCCGACAGTTGAATTTTGGAATAAATTAAAAGTTATTTCTGGAATTTCGAATTTTCACTTTCTTTGTCTGTTTATTATTTTCATTTATATATGACAAATCTATTTAAAGATGTATTAGATGTACAGTCTTTGCAAAAAGTGACTGGAATTGAAAATTCATACTTTTTGCATAAAAATAAATGTTTATTCGTAAAAAACAATTAAAAATTAAATTTATATCTAACAATTTTATAGTTTAAATTAAAATTTTCTAATTTTATTTCATTTTTTTAAAAACATACCTATTTTTATGGAAATAATTTTTTAATTACGTTTTTAAATCGCCGCTAAACTTTTTGTATTACTTTCACAAATATAACTTAGAAAAATATGTAATTCTCTCCTTAGATTAATGGATTAATCGTACATTATGATTCTGCGATGATAATATATACAAATGTCCAAAGATATATAATCGAAATATTCGAAATTTTTTTACCTACTTTTAATATCGACTTTGATTTAATCTTTCTATGTGAATTTTTTATTTATCAACTGCCTTTCGCGTTTGATTCAAGTTTTTGTATTATTTATCGTTACATATAATTTTGTAATTTTTCAATTTTATTAAATAATACATGTAGTACATCCTTAAAAGCGAGAAGCGTTCTTTGATTTTTTAATTTACAGAATAATAGAAAGAATATGGTTCCCAGCCCGTTGCGACGTAAGCAGTTCAAACGGTTCTTCGATTGTGCCGGCAAGTTGATGGAGGAGCAGCTTTTAAGGGTCTGCAAATATTCTCTGAAGGATTTCATTAATTACATTGTAAACGGCAAGGTGAATATACATATCTACCTTTATGATCAATCGACGCGAAATGATTTTCAGACGAGGAAACTCGCACGCGTTCGGCGTTTCCTTCCTCCGCTTATCCGCTGTCGCGCGAACGTTATTGGAACTACGAGACACAATTTCCATCAATTTCTGCTTATCAAGGCTTTTCAAGGCTCGTCCGCTTGTTCGCCTTGAGTTCCTATCGCGCGCATAATGTTATGACAATTGGAGATTTAAAAATAAACAAAAGATGACAGCTGATGGTGAAATTTAGAAGTTGTCTATTTTGCATCTTCTATAGGTTATTAGCGGATAATTTAAAACAATAATTAGCTTTTCTCTTTTTCAAATTTTAAGACTTTAACTTCATTTTTATTTAATTTTTGCAGATAGTTTTGCAGATTATTGATAACTTTTCTTAGAATTCTCACTTTTGT